TAAATACGGCTTATTAGAAGTTGTTACTATTACTTTAATCTGACTGATGTAAGAGAAGCGTGGAATTTTTGTTTAAAAAATCTTCTCGCTACCTCTTTCGCCATTCTCAATATATTTCGTTCTGAAGAAAATTTTGCACTGCTCTCAAGGGGAGAATGGGGGTGATATCATCCCCTGGAATCAACAAGAAATGCACGAATCACTCCACTTGCACACAATATTCCGTAATTTCTCGGACTTCCGTGGTTTCCTAATTTCACTCACGTTAAACCTGCAATATTCCGTGCCCAACGATTCCGAAAATAATGACGCAGTAAGATTGAAGAACGGTGGATCCGTATGCATGATAAAGCGAAACGCGGAGACGCGAGAATAACTGGGAAATGTTCGGGCGTAGCGGGACGAAACAATCGATGAGATTTGTAGGCACCGAAAAAGACATTTGGCAAAGTTGCCGACTTCCGAGTGCTTTCGCCCGAGATGAGAGTGCTTTTCGAATCCGACCGTAAAATCTATGAAAAGAATATATTCTGAATATTTTTGCCGTTTCATCTCCGGTATCGATCCCGGTCGCAAGACTCTGGACTTTACTTCCGCGCTGCTTGATGCGAATCTACTCTTCAGATATTTCGTCACAATTGAACAGAAATCGAGGAACTACCGACAGTGAGATTGTACTTTTGCGTATTTCGTTTTCTTTTTTTTTTCTCTCTCTCTCAATGATTTGCAAATATTTTTTTCTCTTTTCTTTTTTACGCGTCGTATGACTTTTACGTACATTCTCGTTTTGTTTCAAATCTTAATTTTCAATGCTAATACATATTTCGCATAGCATCCAGACTATGTTCTTTTTTATGATACTCTTGTGAGATGGGGACACAGTTCATAATTACTGCAATGAAATTATAACGAAAGCTGAAAGATAAATTTCAAGCGAGTCGAGGGAGTGAAAGCCTGACTTTATTATTAGAACAAGTATTAAAATCTTCAATCTGCTGATGAAAGTTTAGTTTAACGGGATTAAAATTTTATTATTCATAGCCAAGTTCTTTCGAGATATTATATTAAATTCTTCTCTTAAGCAGTTAAGTGAAAATTGCTCGTGAACGTTCACCCGATTACGACGAAAACAATTTTTGTTGTGCCTCACTTTCAAAAATTATCTTCGACGTGCGAAATATTTTACATGAAATATACATATTTAATTAAATTTAATATCAAATATTTATATGATTATATTTATATTTAAAGCGCTTGCTTTTATTTTTAATACCAATGGGAATTTAATATTAACTGAAAATATTTAATAACGTGTTCGCGGACTCGACAATTTATAGCGGCGAAATAAATTATTAATCAGCTAGCGACATATAAATTGCATATCGTTTCTTTTATGCTTATCAATCAAATATTCATTTAAAATTTGTCCCAATTAAATCTCGATAAAATACGTTTAATTCCTTCGAGAGAGAAAAAGAAACAAAAAAAGAAACGTGAAAATTATTTGTACAATTATGTGACGCATGTGTTGAGAAATATTAGTAAAATTTCTTGCATAGAGATGTGAATTAAATATCTATGGGTACAGGGTGTCTCGAATGTTTGTGTTCAAACTTCGCCAGTGTGTTCTTCAAGTAAAAACAAGACTCAAAAATTCTATAAAATCATTGAAAGGTTGTAAGAAAGATTTAGAATTTGACAAATACGATCGATATGGATCAATTTCAAATATATATTACTTGAGAAGAACCAATCTTTCCAAAAATATTCATCATCATTGAAAGCAAAAATTTACAATGCAGAAGCATTAAACTAATTATAAAAGTGAAAGTTACGTGTTGAAAAAATTCGACAAAATTGGTATGAAATTTGTTTCAAATTTGTTTGGAACAAATTTAATAATTACTCGAATGCTAATTTTGCATTGACAAAAGATCAACCTTCGTAGTTCACACATTAAGTTGAGCTTCATATTTCTGTAACGAAGCGTTTATGGACTTTTTTTCTAGATGATACTTTAGTCTTATATTTTTGCCTGTAGAACACCCTGTTTGCAAAGTTTAAAACAATAAAATTCGGAACACTCTGCGTACGTTTACATTTAGATGATTAAATGCATATAATTTTACACTATTACAGTAAACACGACTTTTTTTTCCTTTTTTTTAATATACACACATACTGTTTATACAAACATCACACACACACACACACACACACACACACATATACCATCCGAATCTCCCTCCAGTTTCGAAATGAAGCACACCGTCGTCGTTTATATTTATTCTGATTATTGAACGCCGATAGCCAAGCAACTGCATAAAAGTTATTAATATTATATATATATTGCGCTAGTTGTGCGACGTTCTTGTGTATTATCGTTGCTTCAGATTTCTCTGTCGATACTTTTGTATGTATGAAGTTATGTGCTTGTGTGCACCGTTTACGTGCATACAAATATGTTCTGAATGTGCAACGTTGAAGAAATTAAACAGTTAGCGAACAACAATACCGTGCAAAAAGCCGCTACGAAGTTGTCCCATTCACGAGACGTGATGACAGAGACATTTCTTGAAAACTGTTGATTATTTACCGATTTCATCTTTTTCCTTTTCATTTTACTTACAATTTGTATTACTTGCGTAGTTTCTTTATCGCCTTTATTATTCTTTATTTTATTTTATCATTGTAATTAACAGTATAAATTATTGACAAGTTTCTCATGTTCGTGATTAATTTTTATATAATAACGAAGCATAAATTCATCGATTTCGAGAGAAACGAAATTAAGTTATGGCGAAAGAGAATATTCCTCGAAATATAGCACGAAATACTGATTAGTTAATTATTAATAAGTAACAAACGTCAATCATCTCAATTATTAATAATTTTTACATCTTTTGTGAGATAAGTTCATTTTCACTAAAATGAGACCATATTATAGTAACACCAATACATTTCTCAATTATTTAGTAATTGTTTTAAATTATTTATTTTGTTACTTATTGTTGTAATTATCGTATTTATCTTATTTTTATTAATGATTGTAATAATAACAATAATTAATTTTTTTGATTCTTATTATGAAATAATTAACTGAAATGATACTACATTGTAATAACAAATATGTCTTAATTATTTAACGAATTGCATTATTTATTTTATTACTGACAGAAGTAACAATTAATTACCATTAATTATTAATCATTCTTTTCATTTCTGTTCCTTTTGCAAAATAATTAAGTACAAGTTTCTTGAATTGCATAATTAGAATCAAAAGAACGTATCAGAATTTCAGCTGTATTTATCCATCTTACATCGTGCATTTACAACGAAATGTTTTTAAACTGTTGCTCCATTCTTTTAGAAAAAATTACGCGCATTTCTTGTCTTCTTGTAAAATATATTTCGTCTTTCATTAATTCCACGTCAACAGAAACCGACAGCCACATTTTGCACGGTATTGTGCATCCAAGTTACCGCTTTAAATTCGAAGCATTCGCTTGAAATCGCTTAGAGAAAAAAAAAAAAAAAAAAGAAAGAAAGAAAGAAAGCTCGCGCAGAAAGAGATCAAATCGAACGCTGAGAAATCACGAAAAAAAAAAAAAAAAGAAAACAAAAAAATTACGATCTATGTACGCACGTACATGCAACGTAGTCCATCGCGTACATTCGACACGCGTGACGCGTGTTTCGTTTTCAAGCATAATACGAATGACTCGCGTCAGAATGTACGTCAATTCGCAAGAAATGAATAAAGTCGAAGGGGTAAATTGACGCATAAGGACGTTTACCTGGCAAGACTATTCGTTTCTCCAAACAAAAAAAAAAAAAAAAAAAAAAAAAAAAAAGAAAAAAACCGATTAATTAGGACTCTGCTTGGCGATTAGTTTTGATTTTTTCAGTGTCGACTTTGTTTGTTCGTCATGCTGCACAATAGTTGAAAGCGAAGGCATATATATTATATTATACATATACATATATAGTTGAAAGAGGACGTTCTGCTGATAGTTGATTCTAGATTCTTTTTCTGGGCCTTCACGATTGAGTGGGTCCATTTTCATTCCAGACTATTATTAGTGTTTTGCTCCCGTTGCGCTTTTGCGAACACTAAGTGCATCACGAGACATGCACTTTAACTTTCATTTCGGAATTTATTGTTCGTACTTAGCCCGTAAAACAACGGACCTGCAGCCACGAGGAAACACCTCTGTTTCTTTTTTTTTTTTTTTCTTTCCTTTTTCATTCGAAGTGCGCTTTTATATCGCTCACTTTGACATCACGAATTTTAGATGAATTCTAAAAGCGCGGCATTAACTGTTACGCAGCTACTTTTATGCTCTCCTGGGTTAAGTGTGACAAGGAATGTACATACAGTTGCGTTGTTTCGTTCCTTTGACTAAATTTAAGTATCTTTCTTCACTGTGTAATTAGTCGTCAAAATTTAAAGGGACTTTGGTGATTTATCTTTTCAACTTTAATGTATTAATTGGACTTTTAAAAAATTGTCCACGACACTTTCATTGCGTTTTAATTGTGAAAAGAAAATTAATTTGTTTAGCTTTGAAAAATTGAGAATGTGATTCGTGTCACATATTTCGTATTTGATTTTCGAAATAAAATATTAAATCGTTTATTATTTTAATTGCAACGAAATGTAGTTAATTTTTTTGGAAAATCAATAGTTCTTTTTTTGTGTACATATGTTACAAATTTAAATAAACATTTATGCAAATATGTTGTATAATAAATGAAATATTTTAATTTCTAATCATTTATCGCTAAATATTCGAGCATGTAATTTAATTGTTCAATGGGCGAAAAATTTATTATACAAAGAAGCAGAGAAAAGAAATTTATTAACCGAAAAGAAGTGTTATCATCTGGGCTGCAGGTTCGTTTGTTAAAAGTAAACTACGTGGGCATGAAAATTACTAATTTGACAGACATCTCGATGCGAAGGTTGCTAATGCAGAGAATTCTTTTGTTTCGAGTAGGTCGATCTAAGACACATGGACGAGAAATCGGGAAGCAATGTGGTGGACGTGGGAGTCGATCTCTCCGAATTCTACATGTCGGTAGAATGGGATATTTTAGAAGTACCTGCAGTACGGTGAGCATGTTATACTCATAAATAATCCCAAAATGTACATAAAATTGTTACACTTACATTAAAACTAAATATACTCATCACTCGTATATATATATATATAATTTTTGCATTATGTACAATGTGTAAAAAGCTAAATATTCATGCATTTAATTTTTGCACAGATGTTTGTGATTCTTGTTGTAAATGAAAATATTGATATTGATATTTAATATCAAATATAATACAGCTATTATCGAATATTATGATATAGTAATTTACAAAAATTTAACATTATTATTGTTGTAACAAAAACTATTTTCATCAGAAAAGAACCTTTCGCCAGAAGAGCGAAGATTTAATTATTGAAGAAAGAAGGTTGGAAATAATATCGTATTACACTTAATTCTGAACGCCATAATAAATAATGACGTTACTATTGAGTGTAATATATTTCATTGATATTTAAACGTTTTAAAAATGAAATATTCAATAAATTGCAACTACGTACTGTAATCTTTAAATATTTTATCAATACAGAAGAGTAATATTTTCCCAAAAAATAAAACAACTTATACTCGATTTTACGATCGTTAAATTAACTGTTATCAGCTGGACAGATAGCATTGGCACAAAGGAATTAAGAATATCTGGATTCGAGGAAAATTCAATGCCCGGTACTCTCGCGCGTTATTTTTTCCGAAGGAACGTGACATTCAGTCGAATAGGTTTTTGTTAGATATTTAAACGATTTGTCACGTAAGTGGAATATCCTTGCTATGGTCAGACAACCGGAGGTATGGTCAGACGGCCTTAAATTGCAACCGGAATTTCAATCGATCCGCAGACCAGAGAATGGACATCTTGTATGTCGTTTGACAGAATCGCGCTGTAAAAATCGCCATCTGCTGCAAAAGCATTAATGAAAGACCAGATTTCAGTATTAAATTCCTATCCTATTATTAATCATTCTTCGCGAGAAAACGACGAGGAAACATTTTCGTGGTTTCTTAAATCTCTTTTAATATCAAATTAAAATTACTTTTAATATCAAATTCTTATTTATTATTAGGAAAAAGCAATCAGTTTCGATATTGAATTTTGGTTGTTGTTAGTTGTTAATAACACTATGGTATTATACAAAAATTTCCTCTTATGAAAAGTAATAAGATTTTTCTAATTTATATTAAATAACTACAGTAACTAATCATATCTCTGTTATATATTATTTATAATTTATACAAGTACATAATATAACCAAAATATTTAATATAGACGTCATATATGTATGTATAATATTAATTACATATAATGTAATACAGTAATATCTATTTATTATAACATTTAATTGAAGTTAATTAACACTCATCATAATAATTACTAATATAATTATAATATATATAATGAATGTAATTTATTAATATTTATATTATATTAATATATAGAATTAAAAATTCGAAGTGTAATAATATTAATATTAATATTTTCAATGGGCGTTTATTATCATCCATCTCGCGCGTATGATAATGTAACAAGAACAATATTTTCAGCAGTGATTTAAACATTGTACATTCCGAGCTGAATTAATCTGTACCTTTTGCATTTTTATTTGTGCAGAAATGAAAAATTTTACACCTGCTGCGACGAGCCGTACCTGGATATTACATTTAACATAACAATGCGAAGGAAAACGCTTTTCTACACCGTGAACATAATTATTCCGTGTATGGGAATTTCCTTTCTTACGGTACTGACGTTCTACCTACCTAGCGACAGCGGGGAGAAGGTAAATAGAATTTGCATTCGTAAAAATTTCACGTAGAAACATCTTGCATGAAATTAAGTTGCAGAATAAACACGATGGTACGGATTTTAATTTACTCGCCCTGTAATCTTTCGTTTCTGTTCTCATTTCTTCCATATATATATGTATGTGAATAATTTTATAATGTGTATATTGTATTAAGAATTCGACCAGCCTAATGTTCCTTCCTAATTATTTCAATACGTATCGTACGTCGAAAATTAAAAGTCCAGTTTTAATTTTGTGATATTTGGCAAATACGTATTTTCTTTAACTTGTTATAATAATTTAAAAATTACGCATCCACACGATTACGTTTTCACTTTACATTGACACATTATTAGGAAAATATTAAATGATATATAAAGCCATTTTACCAAACAATTGGAAATTCTAGTTATCAGTTATTAGGTTGTTAGATTTTAATTGAATTTTATATAATATCAACTTGTTATTGTTATCAATATAATTAATATGTTGTATTCATTGTTACAGCGTATTAATAATATTAAATATGTTTTTAAATCGGTGTAAATTTTTGCATTATACTAAACATATATCAAACTAAAATCAAATCAATTGTAATATTAAACGTACACTTCAAACGATAATTTAATACATACATACATAAGTAAATGAAATTAAACAATTTAGCACGGAAATTAAAGTAAAACGTCATATTATTGTCAATGCGATCGCAAATAATAACTTGTCACATCATTAACATTATTAACTCGATGAATCGCAGTTTCTGCAGCCTAACGTTTTGAAGACAAGACTCGTTTGAAGTTTTCACGTTTTTGAAGGCACCGTGACACGAGCACTTTGCTCGCGAGCGAGAGAACGAGAGAATTATTATGTGACTAGTTCAAAGGTTCAAGTTGCCTGTGCGGAAGCTTTTATGGGAAAAAAAAAAAAAAAGAAAGAAACGGTCGTTTACCGGTCCGTTTTCTGGAAATTTCAATCTCGCGAACAATAAGGAAGGCCGCGTCAAAGAGTCGCCCGAGTTAATTAAAACTCACTGCCTGTAAATGCACTAGTCTGTCTTCCATCGACATGAGCGTTCGGCGATATGACTAATCGCGGCCCCCTTGAACCACCGTCAGCCACCGTTAATTAAAATCGGCTCTGCTCGCAGATTCACCGCAATGCAATTAATCCCTTTATCCACCGTGGAAGTGGTAAACGTCTGTAAATGCCTTCACAGCGAGCCAGTCGTCGATTTTTCGCGAAAGGATACCACATGCAGTAGTACAAACGCAACGACGACTGTGAACACACGGTGGAAGATCCCTTTCAGAGATATACGAAAGAGTATGAACGTCTATATGTTTGATGAACGAATCGGAATCTGGAACCGTGCAGTTATTAATGTACGCGTATATCTGTGTATTTATATTCAACGTGCTCGTACATGTTTAAATATACTACTTAAATGTAACTTTCGTCGGAACGTCATGTGTGTTTGATTAGTAAGTAATTATTGAGATTTTCCTAACTAACAGTTGTAAGAATTCGCTTGATATTTCTTCCCGTCGCTGTTCATTTTACTCGGAGTAACAGTTTTACAAAATTTCTAAGGGTCGAAGCATTTGCGAACTATTGCTCGGCCCTCGATGCAGTCTGTGTAGAAAAATTCCTCGATACACGATGTGATACTCGTTCGAGCGACGAGATGCCGAGAAAGAGACAGAGTTAATTGCTTGTTTCCTAAGTTTCCGTTTTTTCGTGTTCTTCGCCGGGCGAATGACCTGACGCAACGAATATAAATCCGATGGAGAAACTTTGGATTTATGGCGGTCGTTAATCATCCGCGGCGAAAGTTTCACTAGGCAGAGCCGTACTCTTCCGTGGAATGCAAGTTTTATTGAACCGGGGCTCTGTCGTGCGGTGGATCTGCCTGTGTTTCGAATAAATCTGCTAACAGTTGATTTCATGGCTGTTTCATTTTCGATTTCGCGCCGATGATACCTCGGGCCCGGGCAATTTATTCCATTCTTCTAGAGGCGAGCTGATCAACATTTGATCAACATTTTTCATGGTTCTTTCCATCAACAAGGATAACGAATGAGCGTGTCTCTTAAATTATTTCTTTCGGTTTGGTTTCGAGACCTCTCGAGCGGATATTTCGGCTTCGTTGATATAAATTTCTTCTCACTTCTGTTAAGTTAGCACGTTGGCACGTTCAAAATGAAACGGGAGTCACAGTTTCCACGGAATAAATTGTTTCCTAAACTGTTTTCTGTTATTAAATGTGTTTCGAAACTTGCAATAAAATATTGATACTAAGCACTGTTGATGGTAACGTGTTCCGAATGCATGTCAAAAGAAAAAAAAACATTTGTTTCGCCGTGCTGTGAGGTTGGAAAATCGATTGAAGCCCCTCACGAATGTGTTAAACACAGAAGCAGAAATTCCTCCTTTTCCCCGACTTGTGCATACAGGGTGTGACCCGCGCAATTGTCTCGTAAACTGTTCGTTGCAGAAAGAAAAATGTTTCAAGTAGAATTCACATTGTTTCAATGAGGATGAAGAAACCTCCCTTAAAACAAATACACTTTCTAAAACAATCTATATAATAAAACCTATGTAATAAAAATTGTAAGTATATTTAATTCAGAGATATTTATTTAATTAAAAATAATGAATTTTTAAAAGAAAGGAAACATTCTTTCTTCTGCTACGAACGGTTTACAAAATAATTGCTCGCTTCGAACGGGACACCCTGTGCACAGTATTTATCCGACGTAAGACACGAGAACAGGGGTTTCACCTCCTGTTTCGTGGGACATCAACAGCTCGGAGCAACCCTGTAAACATACACGAAAAATATCGAGCGGAATTGACAGACGCCAGTCACGTCTCGCCGAGCCGACGAGTGAGAGACGCTCGACGATACGCAGAAAGAAGCGGATCGTGCGCCGCGGGGTAAAAAAAAAAAAAAAAAAGTTTCGGAAGGGGGATGAAAGGGAAAAGACGGATGGGAACCGGGACGATGCAATTAATTCCTTTATCCTCGAGAACCGGCGCGCTTGCCTATACTTAGCGCCCGTAAAGCGGACGTGTGTGAAATATGCGCCGAATTAGTTCTCCTCCGCGCTGGCTGTCGGGCCTCGTTATTCCTCCTTATCTGTAAGCAGAGGCTAGTAGTTACTTTTCACCCCGGCGACGTACGCCATTTTTCATTTGCGCGCGAGCGATGGCATCAAGTTCAATGCGTGCCAGCGAAAATCAAGTCAACGTGCAAATATTGGACGTTGGATCGAATTGTTCGAGGATCGAAGACGGTGTTTCAATCGTTAGCACTTGCACGGGTTGTTCGGATTTAATTTTGGACAGGTCCACGATATTTTATAACATTTGATAACATCGTAATTGAGTCGCATGGATTATAACACCGTCCTGTCTTCTATTAATTATGACGCAGATAATGATACCTCCACATTCGATCACGTTGCTTAAATTAATTAATAACAGGTATAACGATAACAAATCATTAATAACCATATCTTACAAGCGAAATAAGTGGGTCGTAACACAAATTTTTTGAATATGAAAATCAGAGTCGATCGATTTGACTAAAGACTTGAGAAATTTTCATAAGCAAACATATATAGCGCATCTGTGCAACGATGTCGGCCCCAATAAAAAAAGAGAAGAGAAGCGTGTCTAAAATTTATAGAAAAACACGATCGTTGCAATTACTTTCAAAATTCAATTATTACAAGAAAATTAATTGCAATATAACAGGTATATAACACAATATTAAATTATTACAATATAATAGATATGTAACACAATAGAGTAGAATAAAATATTATAAACAAAATTGCATTTATATATAATTATAATATTAATAAAATCGAAAAAATGAATATAACACGTTCCGATACACTTGCCGATATCGTTGTTTTTTCAAAATTATTCAAATTAATCATTTTAACAGTGAATAATGACGATTAAATGTCTCGAACCTGATTCTACATCAAGGATTCAAAAATTATATAGCATTAAAATATGTATATGCTATTATATATAGTTTAGAAATATTTTTGCGAAATTTTGACATTTAGATCGAGCAATGATACAGGGAGAAGTATTCTGAATCATCCCATTGATAACATGTTTCGAGCTCATTGAAATTAGGGAGGGGAAGCCCATTTCCGTAATAATTAAAATTTCTATGACAATACAACCTAATATAACAAAATATTTCTTTTATCTACTGTACATCTCCACAATATACTCCATTATGGATATTTTATATCCAAAGGCATTTTTATATATTATATGCATCGTGGATATACATTTTTGCAACTTCCAATCTTCCACAAATGCATAAAATCCTAACATGTTACATATTAAAAGACTATTGAAAATATATATAATGCATTGCATGTTAGAAATACCTTTGTAAGAAGAAATGGAAGCTAAAGTACTTGCAAGAGTAGCTGATAAATATACATTTACAAAGAATCGATTGCCTCAATATACATTCTATAATATTCTCTTGTATAGTCCTCAAGGCACATGATCATTATTACACGACTGTTGTTATCATTGGCCATACTTGCATACTTGGCTCCATCACTGGACTCTCCATCACCGGCTCTCTTGCCACCTTCGTCCTCTTCTTCATCCCTCCCCCTCCACCCCGTCGGTTTTTCGCTTCTCTGTCCGTTTTTCCATATTGAAGATCTGGCTGCAGGCAACGATCCCCTTTGTGGCCGTGGCTCTCAATACGCGACAGAATAAATAGAGGAAAGGAACTGCTCTCGGAGTTGCTCGGTTCCGTCATTGATGCGCTTTTTCATCCCCCGCCGTTCGACAGCCTCTTATCTCTGGATCTAGCGGGGTCAAGGGGTGAGGAGGAAGGGAGAGAGAGGTTCTCCGCAGGAAAAACCGCGTTTCGGTTTATCGAACGGTGCCGAACGAGCGAACGCTTTGCGAACATACGGTTTTCACGTACGCCGCCTCTGCGC